GGGGATGCGGCCCTTGCGCTGTGCTGAGCCGGCCGTGCTGGCTACGTTTGTGCCACAGTGGTGCCGGGGGGATCGGTGAGCTGCCGGCGGCCGCACTAACTCTTGTCTCCTGTGCTTCTCGGATGCAGCAAAGAAGGGCAAGGGGAAGGACTAGAATGGGAAGCCAGCGTCCTCGTCAGCCTTTCGACACGGTGCCTATGGGGCTGGATGCTTAGCTGCAGCTGGCCCACGCTCCAGTCTTCCTCCTCCTCTCCTTCCTCCTTTCCATGACCTCCTCTTTCACTGAGATGCCTTGTTCTAATCGCTAGTGTTGTAGAGAGCAAACCCACCCACCGCGCAGGAGGGGCTGCCCCCCTCCCTGCTCCGTCCCGGCTGCCGTTGGGGTTCACTGGGATGTGCCTGGAGAACTGGGATGGGAACACACATTTTCCCACCCTGCGGCACAAATGAGTTGCCTTTAAGCGCATCCTTTGGCAAGCCCGGGGGCCTCCTCGTTACTCCGCTGGGTCCCGGTGCCAGAGGAAAGGGCTGGGTGTTGAAATGCCCGAGTAAGCCCATCACATGCCCCTTACTTACATGAGGACTCAGCTCTGGGGCAGGGGGGCTTTTTCCAGCATCCCTTCGGCTGGGGCACGACTTCCCTGCAGCAGCTGGGGAAAACAAAGCCACTGCCTCTGGGAACCACCACATCCCCTCTCCTCCATCACGTCTCGCCGTGTGTGTCCATGCCGGAGCTGCAGCCCCTCTGCCTTCGATGCTCCGACACCAGTGCTGGGTGGGAGCTCTCACTTCTTTTGGAAAATGGGGTTTGTTTTCTTTTCCAATAAAAATCTTTTAAAAAAAAAGTATCGGAACCCATCTGTTATCCCCATGAGGTGCTGCTGTGCTGGAAACCCCAGCAAACCCCAGCTTTGCCGACCCCACCGGGACCAGCAGCAGAGTCACCCTGCGGCGGTGACCTGGGTGCCACACGCACATGGCCTGGAGAAGGGGTGTGGGTCAGACCTCATGGCTTCTTCTCAGCATCTTGGGGCTGCACTACCTCGATCTCAGTGGAAGGGTCGGGGCTGCCACCCACGTGCTATTGGAAATGTTACCAGTGGGTGACATTGGGAAGCTGGCGAGGAGCAACCAAGTGACAACTCATTCACTTCTCACGCTGTGGCCATTGGTTTCTGGTCCAAGGTCTTTATTTGTCTCAGGGTGGGTTGGGCTGTGGTTGTAACAGTTTTAAAAAAAAAAAAAACCAAACCAAAAGCCCACCAGGCGTTTTGGGCACGGCTGTGTGAATTATCCTAAAGGCAGGAACGGGGAGGGGGGGAGAGTCCCCATCTGGGCGGGGTTCCCCCCGCCTTTCTCCAGGTTGCACAGCATTGCCCCGGCGTGGGGATGGGAAGGACATACGGACATGGAGTTTGCTGGTACCAGCGTGACCTCGTCCCATCCCGTCCCTCGCCTTCACCTGGCCGTGTCCACCAAGGCTTGCGGAGACCCGGCTTTGGGAGAAGCTGAGGAGCAGCCCTGGGGTGGTCCGGGCTGCGCAGACAGGTGGGCTGGGAGGGGGCTGGCGACGCCGGCTGAAGCCCGCATGCTGAGGGCTCTGCCACAACACCGACGACGGGGTTACGTCCATTTACAAAGCTCAGCAGCTGGCTCCTTCGGCCTCCCTGGGGCATCCCCCTGCACCTGGGGCAAGAGCGGGGCTGGGGGCTACCGCCGTCCTCTCCCAGCCCTGCAGCCATGCATCAGGCCTCCCACATCTGCTGTGGGGAGAGTGGGGACCTGATCATGGCCCAGATGAAACACAGGGCACCTCGGCCACATTGCAGAGCCTCTTCCCAACCTCCCCAGCCTCCCCCATCCCACCCAAGAAGAGTTATTGTCACTGTCGCTGCTGCCCACTTCTCAGGGGCCACGTCCCCCCCTCCCCAGGGCCACGGAGAGAAGTCCTGCACCACACCACTGCTTTGCTTTGCAGTTTTAGTTTCCATCGTTGTAGAAGGCGACTGGGTTTCACGTTCCTCACCCAGGACTGAGATGCTTGGTTCGTCTGTCTGTCTGTGCAGAGGGCAGAAAAGGCATCAAGGGAAGGGCAGAGCCGAAGCCCAGGGGAAAAAAATTCCCCCCCTGCCCTGGTCCCTGGGTGAGGATGTATGATGGTGTCTCTCAAGGAAAAGAAGGAGCTTGCCACGTCTGCCAGGGTGCAATCGTGACTGCCTCGGGAGGGGACCTGGCAGGACTCCCCATGAGGTTGCCCAAGCCAGCTTGGTCCAAGACGGCTGGCAAATGTTTGGCCCTGGTTTCTTTTCATTTCTTGGGTAATAAATGGTTTAAAAGCCTATGGAAATCATCCAGCATTAGGCTGTCTGCATGCAGCCAAGCGCTGATGCCCTGGAAACGATCAGCCAAGGGGAGAAGAGGTATCCAATCTTTGGACAAACACTGGTGCCATTTGGCCAGCCTCTCAAGATCGGGGAGCTGGGGAGGGCTCCTGGTGACCACATCTCCCCCTCTTGCCTCCGGCTTTCCCGTTGGCTCCCCAAGCTAGTCCCCAGGCCCAGGGTGACTGGAAGGAGCTGCAGCTCAGAGACATCTTGGACCTTTGTCAGCGTTGGATGAAAGGCATCACCTGCAATCACTGCACAGTCTGCACTGTTGTGAGCAGAGGACCCCCCTCCCCTGGCCTCTCCCCGGCCAAGAAGGCAAAGGGAAGGGCTTCCGTAACGTTGCTGAAGTGGTCCCTGAGTGCCGGTTTATCTGGCTGTGCCAATGTTCCTGTACTGGCACATGAGAAGGTGCTTGAAGGTTTTCTTGAAAGTGGCATTGCAGAGGGCGTAGCAGGCTGGGTTGATGGTGCTGTTGACGTAGCAGAGCCAGTAGCCGATGGACCACACTGTTTCGGGCACGCAGGTTTCACAGAAGGTGTTAATGAGGACCATCACATTGTAGGGCGTCCATGTGAGTATGAAGGCTAGCAGAATAGCAAATATGGTGCGGGTCACTTTCTTCTCCCGGGCTGCCATCTGACGCTTCTTCCGTACTTGGCTCCTGGCGATGCTAGCAAACTTCCTGGCAACGTTGGCTGGGCGGCTGTTGGCCAGGGAGTTGTGATCAGAGGCTCCTGACTTAGCCGGGACGATCTCGATGGCAGTGACGCATTCGGTCCCAGTCTGCTTGGTGACGATCTTAATCTTGGACCACTTGGAAGATGGATTCACCCGGGGGTGGGCTGGGCTCTGTCCTTGCCCCGCTGGCAAGATTTCTGCTGTGGGCTTGTCTTTTGTGGTCTGGGTCATGCTGACAGTGCTGGACTCGTTGGAGGTCTCCTTCTCCTCCTGATGGCCAGTGGCCTCTGTCTGCGCTGAGGGCTGGTCATCCACTTTCCCATTCCTCACCTCCTCCTTCACCTCCACAGCCCTCTTGGGGGAGTTATTGTTGTTCTGTTTGATCAGGGGGCCCTTGAAGAAGCTGAGGGACTTGCCTTTCCTCTCTTTCCTGCTTTCAGGCTTGTGCCTCCTCACCCTGCTCCTGCTGGCCAGGGAGATGTGGATGTACAGCACCGTCATGATGACCACGGGCAGGTAGAAAGCGGCGATGGCCGTGCCGAAGGTCACCGCCGGGTTGGAGAGGAACTGGATGTAGCATTCCCTCTCGGGGACAGTCCTCTTGCCCACAATGAACTGCCAGAACAAGATGGCAGGGGCCCAGAGAATGAAGGACAATATCCACGCAGCTGCGATCATTAGCCCTGCCATCTTGGTGGTCCTCCTGGCTGGGTAGGTCAGGGGCTTGGTGACACAGAAGTATCGGTCAAAGCTGATGATGAGCAAGTTCATGACAGAGGCATTGCTCACCACGTAGTCCAGGGCCAGCCACAGGTCGCACACCACGGCCCCCAGCGGCCAGTAGCCTTTGATGATGTAGACTGTGTAGAGGTTCATAGAGAAGACCCCGATGATGAGGTCCGCACAGGCCAGGCTGAAGAGGAAGTAGTTGTTGACAGTCTGGAGCTGGCGGTTGACCTTGATAGACAGCATCACCAAGATGTTCCCCACCACAGTGACGAGGCTGAGCGAGCCGGTGACCGTGGCGATGAAAACCAGCTCCACCGTCTTGTAGTTGGTGGGAGGCTGGATGGCCACCTCGGAGCGGTTGCCCAGGGTGAAGTTGTCGTAGGTCAGGTTGGCCATCTTCGCCTGCCAGGGCTGAGCAGAGAGGTTGTGCATGGGATCTGCAAGGGGAGCGGGGACAGAAAAGGAGAATATCATACCTGCCAGCCCGTGCTGGCAGCGTTTGCTGCTGCCTCAGTTTCCCAGGCCAGCACTGCTCTTGGCCAGTGCTCAAAAACCTCCCGGCATCACTGGGTTTCTCTCTGCCATTGCAGCCTTCCCCCAGGAGCTCTTTTGTGTTCCCATTTAGCAATGGAGGAGACGCATGGAGCTGGTGGGAGAGGAGCAGGGCCAGGGCTGGGGACAGCCCTTTGGCCAAGGTGCGATGGTCCCTTCTCTGCAGGGCCAGGAGCCACCTCCCAGCAGGAGCAGAGCCCTGGTGTGCCCCAGGGAGTCACGCAGAGAGGCCAAGGGGCTGCAGGAGGAGGGGGGCTGCGGAGCCGAGCAGTGATGCCCAGCGCTCGCTGCAAGGACAGCACGGCACGGAGCCAGCGTCCTGCCCCAGGGATGAGAGCAGATCTAAGATATGCCCCAGGCATGTCCTGCTGGCCACCCAAAAGCACCTCCCCGAGACAGGGCTACCCCACAAAACCCGTGCCATGGTCCGCTCGGCTCACCTGTGTCTCTGGCAGCAAACAGCTCCTTCTGGAAGATGAAATCTGGGACAGGGAAAACAGCAAGTTACGCTACAGCTTCAGCCCCAAGTTGTTCATCTGAGTCCCACAACATCTTGGGGGGGGGACATGACACGACAGCACCAACCTTTCCAACAGAGGTGGCCTTGACAAAGGGGGGGACACTGCTCAGAGGCAGATGCTGAAAATCCAAACAAGGCTGAAAATGGGTAATTTGGCTTGGTCTAGTTCAGAGCCCAGCCCCGACAGGCGTGGGAGAGGGAAGGGGCCGCACGAGTGCCATCAGGCAGGGATGCCGGGAAATGCTGGCCCCTTCCCCCAGTCCCACATCACACTGTAGCTGCAGCCGT